ATGGGAGGTATGTTGACATCATTTTTACTAGAGCATTTGGCCAGCTCGGGATTGATAGGGAACGACTCCTACCCATCAGGTCTCCCCTAGTAGGCTTCTCTGCAAATAAGGTATATCCTCTTGGCTTAATCTAGTTAATTTTAACCATTAGAGACCCTTATTGCCAAGCCACCATCTTAGTTAAGTTTATGTTACTTGAATCCCCATTTGCCTACAACGTGATCCTCAAATAAACTTCCTTAAATGCCCTTAAGGCTGTCTCCTCGGCCTACAATTTAGTGATGAAGTTCCCCACCAAAAATAGGGTAGGTGAAGTCAGGGTAGACCAAAGGGTTGCAAGGGAATGCTATCTGACTCAACAAAGCAAAATGAGGTAGGTGCAGTCTAGATGGATGGCCTGGACATGATAAACAAGGTGGATTCAAGAACAATGCCCTCTGAAGAGCTCGAGATAGTTCAGTTGGGGGAGGATCCAAAGCCATGTTATCTTCATTAGATCCAGACTGTTAAGTGAGATCAAGGTCATGGTCATTACATTCCTCAAAGGTAACTCAAACATCTTCACCTGAAAATAAGAACACATGAAGGGTATAGATCCCACGGTGATCGTCCATAAGTTAAGTGTGTACCCGAGCTATAAGCCCATAAAACACAAAAGGAGGAATTTCACCCCCAAAAAGACAAAAGGCAATCAATGAAGAAGTGTCCAAGCTATTCAAAGGGAAATCAGTTCAAAAGGTCGACAACCTAAGTTGGTTTGCCAATGTGGTTTTGGTAAAAAAAAATAAATTGGAAATGACGTCTCTGCATCGACTTTACCAACCTAAATAGAGCATGTCCAAAGGATTATTTCCCCAGCCTTGAATTGATTTGATTATAGATGCCACCTTAGGCCATGAGGTGCTCAATTTCATGGATGTCTTTTTTAGGTTATAACAATATCATTATGGACCCGACATATTAGGAGAAGACCTCCTTCATAACCAATCAGGGGACCTATTGCTATTAGGTGATTCCCTTTGGGTTAAAGAATGCAAGGGCCACATATCAACTATTAGTCAACAAGATGCTTATTGATCAAATCAGAACAACCCTAGAGGTTTTCATTGACGACATGCTGATCAAGTCACTCAAAGTCAACCAACATATTAGCCATCTAGAGAAGTTTTTTCTGATCCTTCGAATGTATGGTATGAAATTGAACCTTGCTAAGTGTTCATTTGAGGTGTCTGCAAGAAAATTTCTTGGTTTCATAGTGAACTACAGAGCGATAGAAACTAATCTAGAGAAAGTGAAGGCATTTCTTGGGATGAAGTCCCCAACATGCATGAAAAAGGTCTATCGTTTCACAAGAACAATAGCTACCCTGAATAGGTTCGTTTCTTTAGCAAGCAACAAGTGCTAACCTTTCTTCATGATGCTAAAAGCAGCTTTCAAGTTGGACGAGAAATGCGAGGAAGCCTGTTAGTTGTTGAAAGCCTACTTAAGCACTCCGCCTGTCTTGGTTAGTCCTAAACCATGAGAAGTCCTAACCTTGTATCTAGTAGTTCCTAACTTCTCTGTCATCATTACCTTAGACAGAGAAAATAAGAAAGTGTAGATGCCAGTGTATTTTTGCAGCAAGGCTCTAAGAGGAGTAGAGGAAAGGTACCAAAAGGATGGTGAAACTGGTCTTGGCAGGCAGGAGTTGCACGGAGACTCAGACTATACTTTCAATCCCACAATATCGACATTCCAACCAACTAGTCAATGAAGCAGGTCATACATAAACCAGAGTCTTCAGGTCAGTTGGCTAAATGGGATGTAGAGCTAGGAGAGTTTAACATCAAATTCAAGTCTAGGATGTCGATCAAAGGTTAGGTCGTGCCTGAAATCCTATAAGAGTTCACTCCTAGCCATGAGCAAGCACAAGCTCCCTAAAAGGGCTTAGATTGGCTTAATCCCTGAAAGCTCAACAAATTCTCATCCATAGAGATTCCCAACTAGTGGTCTGGCATGTCAACTCCGAGTACAAAGCTAAGGAGAATAGTCTGACAACATATCTCATAGTAGTAAATGAGTTTTTAGCCAAATTTCTCTACACCGAGATCTGAAAAGTTCCTAGATCTGAAATTTTTTGAGCAGATTTGCTAGCCAAGCTCATAACTCCTCAAGGGGGCCTAGACAGCAAGGTCCCATTAGAACACCTAACAAAATCGAGCATTTCACTCAAAGAGAATGAGAATACCATGTCTATAGAAGAGGGTCCGAGTTGGATGGACCCGATATATATGTACTTACAAGAAAGGAACCTGCCACAAGTCCCAAAGGAAGTAATAAAACTTAGGAGTAAGGCATCTAGTTTCCTTATCTTTTAGGGAAAACTCTACAAGAGAGGATTTTCATGGTTACTCTTTAGGTGTGTCATCTTGGCAGAGGCTGACTACATACTTAGGGAAATCAACATAGGAATATGTGAAAATCATATAAGAGCTCAAACGCTTGCATATAAGGCCATAAGACGAGGGTACTACTAGCCCACGATAATGAAAGACATTGCTGACCAGGTCAAGAAATGTAAGTCATGCAAGATTCATTCAAATATCCTGAGGTGCCCACTTGAGCAGTTCAACGCAGTTCTAATCCCCTAGCCTTTTAAGCATTGGGGGATTGACATCATTGGGCCTCTCCCAATCAATGTGGGGTAGTAGAAGTTTGTAGTAGTGGCCATTTACTATTGCAGTAAGTAAGCTAAGGTCAAGCCCCTTGTAACAGTTATAGAGCGTAAACTGAAAGCTTCATCTGGAGGTCAATTGTTTGTCATTTCAAAATTCAGAGGGAAATAGTGTCAGACAATGGAAATTAATTCGATTTCAATGGGTTCTGAAATTTTTGTGCTGAATTAGGAAACAAGAACTATTACTCTTCCCTAGCTTATCCAAAAGCTAACAAGTAGATAGACGTCACAATAAGGACCATAGTAAAGGCTTTGAAGACTAGGTTAGAGGCGTCAAAGAATCAATTGGGGGACTATCTCCCAAAGGTGTTATGGGTGTATAAGATAACAACTTGAACATCTACAAATGAGACACCTTTTAGCCTAGCCTTTGGAAATGAAGTAGCCATACCAGTAAAGGTCGACCTTCCCTCACCAAAGATCGAGTTGTCCAACCTTGAGCAGAATGATCGATCTCTACTCCTCAACCTAGACCTCTTGGATGAAAAGAGGAGTAAGGCCCTACAAAAGATCTCAACTATCAGTAATGGAAAACTCATTATTACAATCGAAGAGTTCATAAGTGAAGATTCATGAAGATTCAAGGTAGGAGACTTAGTCCTAAAGAAACTATTATTAGCAAGGAAGGACCCTAAACCTAGCAAGCTCGGCCTAAATTGGGAAGGTCCTTGTGTGGTGAAAAAGGTGGTGAGACCCAGTAATTATAAGCTACAGACTGAAGAAGCACCCCCCCCCCTATTGTTCTGGGAGGGGGAACCCAATGTGGATCTTCTCTCACGATTATACAAGTGGCTCTAAAAATATTTTCCCTAGAGGGGGGTGAATAGGGTTTTCATTTTTAGCTCAATTGATTACCAATAACCAGAATTACTTCTTCCCATAAAGATATAACAATTAATACCTTTAGTCAGCCTTACCCATTTCACACATGATGATTTATTTTAATTAATCGCCAATTAATTCTCTCAAAATCAATCTCAAGTCAATACCAAATCCCAAACTCAAATTACACAACTATATATAGATAGATAGTCAAACAATCATTCCCACAAACACATAGTGCATGTGTGTGCTAACAATCACAATTGTATATGATAAACAATAAATAATACAAGTTATTTGTGGATACAAAAAACCCTCCTTAGGAAAAACCATGGGGAACCACTTTGGGTTTACCAATACCTAATCCACTACTCACTAAGGCCACATGGAAGTACTTGAGTCTTATACCTAAACCAATACCATGGCTAGATGCTTTGTTCCTTGTTATCTCTCCATTAAAGGCCCTCCTTCGATGTCTGGCAAAGCTTCATTTGGACCTCCATACTCATAATTTGTATAGACCTTCAGCAATCATGGGCACGTCAACAATTCTCGGTATGCACACAAATGAGTTTGTTTCTAAACAATCAAGATCTTCAACACCAAGTTTTGAGGTTAGGTAGAATCTATAGAGATAGCCTTTAGGTTTAGGGATATAGGTTAGTGGTGGAAACTCTCAAGGTAGACGATGTGTTTTCTCTCTTAGAAATCTCAGAAGAGGCTTAACCTAGCTATGAGAAAGGCTCTCCCTATTTATAGGCCTAAAATAAGGGTAGTCTTAGTAAATAAGAAAACTCAGATTCGTGAACGATCGCTTGATTGGTGCCAGGGTGGTTATAGGGCAGTTGGCACTAGAATAAAAATCACTTCTCAAACCTACCTTGGAGCATACATTGCTCGAGTGACCATGAAGGACCGATCAAGCGAGCTCTATGTACTCCTCCGTGTCATTTTACCATCTTATTCCCTAAGTCATAAAGAGACCACTCTAGCAAAGGCTAGCAAGCATAGATCAATTTCTACTGATATTTAAAGCATAAAACTAAGTAAGAAACTTGTCCTCTTAAGCACTAACGAGTGTTTCTCAAGTAGTAAAAAGAAGCATGCAATGTGAAGGTAAAAAGAAAGAAAGCCCTTGATTCATAAGGATGATAGTTGCAAAGAAGAAAACTTTCAACACTTAGAAATTTTTACAAACACACAAACTTTTACAATTGTTTGACAAAAAGAGAAAGGCCACTCTTTAGGTTGCCTCCTACTCAGTCTCCTACTACTCAATAGTGTCCTCAACTTACTCTTCTGGTTGACCATCCCTTGCAGCTCCCTCAGTCAAGGCCTTAACCGCCTTCTCCTGGGCTCATTCTTCAAGAAAGACTAGCTTGATGCAACCAAAGTTGACCTCAATAAATTTGTCCTGGGCTTGCACTATGAAATTGTGGAATCCTTTGATATTGGCACACTCCTATTTAAGCCTCTCGATTTCTTTGTCCTTGGCCTTCAAAGTCACTTCCAGCTTCTTCGAAGCCACTCCTATCTTGGAGTGCAATTTGGAGTCGTCGTCTATGTCAACCTTCAGTTGCGTTGCTACTTGCTTAGCCTTAGCCTTGTCAAACTTGGCTGCATCCACCGCTTCGACTAGCTTGGAGACCTCCAGCTCTTTAGAGGCTAAATATTTCTTTAGAGAGCACTCCAAAGACTTAAGATCTTCTACTTCATTCTTGGGGCCCCAAGCCTATCCTTGCAATTAGTGAGCTCAAGATTCTTCTTATTGCACAACCTAATTAAACCTTGAGCCTAGAACAAAAAAAATCAAAAATTTGGAAAAATAGAGCACCATTTGGATGCCCATGAACCGTTCGAATGCTCTTCCAGAAAGCTGAAATGTGAAAATTTTAGAGAATTTGACAGCATCTGGACGTCCCTCCATCACCTGAATGGTCTTTCATGAGTATAAAACCTCTCATGCGCCTATTCATCATAATTTTAGCCCAAAACTCCAAAAACTACAACCCCAGGTTTCGAAAAAACCATCCCTAAGCCTAGAACTTCAATATCCATCACTTTTCGTTTGAATATAAGGCACCCAAGGCTAGATTCAAGCAATTCTTATGTTTCTAGCAGATTAAATCTTGAAATATCATCCCATAATCTTCACATCCACAGGACCAAGGAAGAAGGTGGTGGCCAAGAAATCTAAAACAAGCACGAGGAAATCCACACGAAGACAAGCACAACCTCCAACTGAGGAACCTAAAGAGCAAGATCCTAGGCTCCGTGGCATGAACCATAGTTAAACCTCATCTTCGGTGAAATTATTTTTGAGACATATAAGTAAAAACAGAAGTATGAACTCATCTTCTCTTCTAAAAATGTTATTGTTGAACGTGCCATATTTTGGAGGACTTTGAAAGGGTGGGTGTATGAAGAATTGTGTTGGCAAGAGGTTGGGTAAGGGTTGTGAAATGAGTAGGAGATTATGCAGCTATTTTGGTTCAAGAATTTTACAATAATGTCATAATCACTGGACCTAGGATGTTTGTTACTTATACAATGGGAATCCATTTCAATGTTTATATGAAAACTATTTTTGAGGTGATTAAACCAATTCTGAGAGAACCTAATGCCATGTCTCCTCCAAACCTATCCATTGATTTAAATGTAATTGGTCGAGAATTGATCGGGAATCCTAATTTTATGTGGGGACATGAAAGGCAAATACAAAATTTTCAACTTCATATGGTGAAAAATCTTATGCCCTAAAGCCAGAAAAATCAATTTTTTATTGACCAGGATAGGCTTTTGTACTCTCTAGGGATGGGGCATGCCATTGACTTGCCCAATTTTATAATGGACCAAATGATCCTTACTATCCTTGCTTGCAAAGGCAAGAGACCCTCACTCCCTTTTGGGCTACGAGTTACTGATATATGTAAGAAAAAAGGGAGTTGTGGTTGATGACTCATGGGAGAAAGCAGAAAGACTTGGGTTTTTGGATGCCACTTCCCTCAAGAAAAGTTATGGAGGTGAAAGAGGTAATCAAGAGGGGCAAGGAGTAGGAGGAGCAGGGGATGTATTTGGTGATAAGGATGCGATTAGGAGAGCTGAGGATGAGGCACAAAATAAGGAAGGGACAAAAGAGTAGCTTGCACAGGAGCAAACACTAGCCAAGCCAGGATCTGATAGGGACAATTTACTGGACTCAAAGCANGAGGAAGGGACAAAATAGTAGCTTGCACGGGAGCAAACACTAGCCAAGCCAGGATCTGATAGGGACAATTTACTGGACTCAAAGCACAAATAAATGAGTTTGGGACAAGAATGGGTCACTTTGAGGACAATCAAAAGGAGATCCTCAGTATAGTGACTACTTATTGGGAAGTTTTGATATCATTTTTTGTTGTTATGCTAGCTCTTTGGAAAATTTAGCTTTTGATCTTATGTTAGTTGTTGGATTTTGGTTGAAATATTTACTTGTATTTGCATAGTATAGTTAGTTTTAACTATTTGAACTTGGTTTGGATGCTTCCTTAGCTTTTCTTTGGGATATTGCTTAATAGTAGTTGATTATGCTTTACGATTTATGCTTTATGTTTTTGTGGTTTATGTTGGATTTGTGTTGGTTTGTTTTGAACATAGGCTAGATTTGCTTTAGTTTGTTATGGAGTTTAAATACTTAGAAGTTTGTTTTGCTTTGATTGCATGATTGATTTTTATTTTTTTCATTTACATAGTACTTCATGCATAGTTGAGAGAAATTATGAAATGTTACTTAGTATGAGATTATTATGATAGCTATCCAACCTTGAATTTATCTCCGGGCAAATTTATA